GGCATATGTGTAAGAGAAGCAAGCGAATGGAAGTAGCAGAAAGCTCACTACAGCAGTGCTCCTAGTATGACCCTGAGAAAAAGATGAGAGTACTGTCTGGGCTAACAGCTTAGTGGCACACAGGAACATGGAGCTGTGCCCAAGGAAATCATCTCCTGTTGTTTGACTCCTGTGTTCTGAAGAACCAGAACCCTGCATGTTCTTTGTAAATAAAGAGGTTTTCTTCAAAGATACCTGACTTCACCATGTCCTCTCTTAACCAAAACAACCCCTCCACTCCCCCAAACTTTGATTTACTGTTCAGATCAAGAAGGGTACTAATGATGTTAATGATAGTGGCATCGAGGGTGCTCAGTGATACACTTTAAGCAATAACAATTTATGATAAAACTCTATAGGAAAATACTCTCTCAATGTGAAATTAATTTAAAGCAAACAACGCTAAATTGTTAGATCTGCTACTAGCAAAAGGATCAGTTCCATGAAGAGCTGGGGTTTGAAGGAAGGAGTATGGGCCTACCATTAATTGTTATTAAAACACATAACTGGAGTGAAAAGAATGTGAAAAATGCAGAGAGCTGTACTGAAACAGATGCCAGGGGAACCATATACTTAGGAACCCAGTGTAGCAAAGCCAGTATCCCATGCAGACCTAATGCAAGCATGAGAGTGGGATCAGCAAGCAGCAGGGTGTGTGCAATCAGATATGCATTCAGCAGGCCAAAATTTAGCAAAATGGTTGTGAAGGTAGCCCAAACCTGCACCATATAGGGCTTTAAGATCTAGGAGTGGTAACTCAATCTTAATTCACATAAAGAATGCAGGGCTGGTATAATATGATCATGGTTGCTCAAATCTGTGAGCAAACATGCTGCTAGGGGATTAACAAGTTGTGAATGATGAAGTCCTACTGAGAGCTACATTTAAATTTAATTACAACATAAACCTTTACACAAGCCTGTAAATCATCGCAGGATAAATAAGGGTATAGCTAGTCCAAACTGGACACCTTGGTGCCATAGCTAATACATGGCTGTTTCAGATGAGACAATGTTTACTTAAACTATCTTCACTAACCCCCATCACATCCCCTCACAAGTAGGGACCCAAAAGAAGAGACAAGCTCCTTGTTTTTATGATGCTACCCCCTGGAAGGATTTGTTTTCCAAGGTCTTGAAATCAAGTAAGCCCTGATACACCATAATGTATTATGTATTATAGAAGCATTTCTCCAGGACAGAGACAACATTTTCTGGGTCTATGGGACAAGAGAAATGTATAATTTTAGCAAGACATCTCAGAGATATAAGTGGACATAAGAAATGATCTATTTGATCTCAGTTGAATAGCACCCATCGTTTGGTCCATCACTACCAAATGGTAAAACACTCGTGCTGGCAATTTCACACCCTCATAAATTCCCTCATTTGCTGCAGCAAAAATCCACAGTCAATAGTTCTACAAATTACTGACAAGAAGATTATGCAACAGATAACTAGGGGGTGTTCAGTCAAAATGTCCCTGATCAGTGCAGTATCACCTTCCAAGAGAGGTCACAGCCCAGCATGGAATCAGGATGTCACAGGTGTCCAATGGCATGTGCAACTGAAATACCACCACCCCCTCCATTACTATCTTAGAAAGGGACTAACTGTGATTTGGTCATAACTGAACTGATAACCATCCTGGAGTCAACAGGAGGAGAGTGAGAAGGACAGATCATTGCATATCGAGGCACAGTGGGTGCCAGTCCACATTATGCAGACATGGACAGAGCCTCACAATAATGAATGGCTCTACAACCAATCCACCTGCCTCTACCAACCAAGATGGACAAGGTTTGAAACTAGATGGTAGGTGGGAGAGAAGAACATAGGCCTTCTCCTTGAAAGAGTATGTCTCTTTTCTGCCCTATACTGAAGAATGGGTGGAGACTCAGAGCTTCCTCGCTCTACAAGGGAGCTGCTGACAAGTTGGTCTCCACCAGGGAGAACCGATTCTTCTCCCCTGGGATTAAAGTAGCCACAATCTTTTGAGCGTTAAGGAATCCTCTGGGGCCTATCACTTTACCATAGCTTTTGGCGGAGAGGTACACTGTAAAGACTGGTACTTGTAGGTAGTGCCAGCCTGCGTGTGAGTTGATTGTTATCAAATGTTGGCTATTTCTTGTTTTTTGATTTAAAGGAAGGTGCTGAGGGCTTAATGTTATTGAATCTAAGTGCTGTGCCAAAAACACCTAACTTGAGATTTTTTTCAAAGCTTATTAGCTCTAATTAATTTGAAAATCTCAGCCATACAGCCCAGGATAAGCACGTTCCCCCATTCTTTCTATTTTAAATATATCTAACCTGTTTATTGTGATACTGAAAAGAAACACAGTATTCTTGGAGGGGCAGAAAAAAGATCATCAGTTTTAAAACACTGTCCCAGCAAAATATGTAAGCCAATGAAACCCAGACCCTGGCTCCAAAGCCAAATTGGCTTTTCAGCCTGTCACCTACAGCTTTCACAGGAAATGTTATGAGGGTTTTTGTTTGCTTGCTTTTTCTTTTTGCTGCATGCATTGGCTGCGTTCTCCATGCAACACCTACAATCTGTCTCTTTCAATCTGTACAAGTACCGTCCTGTATCCTTTTGAACTGAAGCATGTTTATCACAGTGCACTTAAGGCTGTGAATGCTGTCATGGCTTTTTTGGTTAACACTTGACTGCTCATGCCATTCTTGAGCCAGTCCTGAATGCCAGGGGTTTTTGCACATGCATATATTTCAAGGTGTGAGTGGTCCCACTCACTTCAGTAGAGGTACTTTTCTGTGCTCAAATTAAGTATGATGTAACTTGCTTTGCTGGCTTGGGTCCACTTTCTGGGAACCCCAAGTGTTAGAAGTTGTTGATTTGCCCATGCTTATGAAATATTTAATTAGTACTAATTTAAATACACACATGTGAAATGACAGCAGAGGAGTGCAGAGGGATATAGTTAAAAAGCGGGGAAAGTAAAGGTGGTTCTGTTTGCCCCATGCAGCCGCAGAAACACGATTCTGAAAGGTTCAGGAGAGACCGCTTGAGGACAGCCAGATCTGTTCCCCCTCAGAGCCAGGTGACGTCAGAGGAAGGACTTTAGCCACTAAAGTGGGAAACATTTATGCTCACGCTTAACTTCCCACAAAGGAAGTCAACAAGCCCTTCACTACCTCTAAAGACCTCAGCTCCATCACCCAGGATGGTGTCTGCTCATCTTGTTGTTTCTGGATCAGCTTTTGCGTTGACTTTGCGGACGAATGCTCCTTATTTTATTGTGTTCTATTTTTTTAGGCAAAAATGGGTAAGAGTGAAATTTTTGAAGGGGAACCCCGGTGCCTTGCCCTGTTCCCAGTATTACCCGTGTCAGGGCAGCATGGCAGGGCTGCCGCTGTGTCCAGGGAGTGTGCCTGAGGGGAGGTAGTAAACAGCATGGAGAGATGTCAGAGAGAGGGGCTCTCCTTGGGCCTGGCAGTCACTGGGGTACGGTACAGCGCCCATCTGTGACTAGCTCTGAGGCTCTGCAGGGTCAGCGGCGGAAAAGGCACACAGACACCTCAGGAATTGGAACGTTAGGTAACTAGCCCCGTTCTCTGCCCCCTGATTGGCCGAGGCGCACCCTAGCCGCCTATCCTGGCGGGCAGCTCAGCCCGGGGCGCTCGCGGGGCAGCTCCGCCATTGGCCGGCGCGGGGCGGGGC